ATCAGACCTATTGTCATGTTTAATCCCAGTGAGAGTCAAGTTGGGAATTGATAATTTCTTCTTTTTTTTTTTTTACAGAAGATCAGTTTAGTATACATTAAGTAAAGATTTCAACAGTTTGCACCCCCATAGAAACACAAAGTGAAATATACTGTTTGAGTACTCGTTATAGCATTAAGTCTCAATGTACAGCACATTAAGGACAGAGATCCTACATGAGGTGTAAGTGCACAGTGACTCCTGTTGTTGACTTTACAAATTGACACTCCTGTTTATGGCATCACTAATCTCCCTATGCACCAGTCATGAGTTTCCAAGGCTATGGAAGCCCCTTGAGTTCTCCGACTCTTATCTTGTTTAGACAAGGTCATAGTTAAAGTGGAGGTTCTCTCCTCCCTTCAGAGAAAGGTACCTCCTTCTTTGATGACCCGTTCTTTCCACTGGGATCTCATATGGAAGCCTTCTGAATCCACCAACTCCATCAGTATTTAGAAGACCTTCTTCTCAGATCTGGAAAAAATGGTGCTGAAATTTATATGGAGGCACAAGAGACCTCGAATAGCTAAAGCAATCTTATACAACAAAAACAAAGCCAGAGGCATCACAATACCAGTTTTCAGGACATACTACAGGGCAGTTGTAATCAAAACAGCATGGTACTGGTGCAGAAACAGATGGATAGACCAATGGGACAGAATTGAAACACCAGAAATCAACCCAAACATCTACAGCCAACTTATATTTGATCAAGGATCTAAAACCAATTCCTGATGACCCATTCTTTCCACTGGGATCTCACTCGCAGAGATCTTTCATTTAGTTTTTTTTTTTTTTTTCCCCAGAGTGTCTTGGCTTTCCATGCCTGAAATAGTCTCATGGGCTTTTCAGCCGGATCCGCATGCCTTAAGGGCTGATTCTGAGGCCAGAGTGCTGTTTAGGACATCTGCCATCCCATGAGTCTGCTGTGTATCTCGCTTCCCATGTTGGATTGCTCTCCCCTTTATTTATTCTATCGGTTAGTATTAGCAGGCACTAGACTTGTTTATGTGATCCCTAAGAAATATTCAATCATTATCAATTAACTATGTAGTGGACTTTTAACATTCTTTTACATGTGTTTTATTTGAACTCTTTTGTAGATTTCTCTAACTGGCCTGAGTTTGATATTCTTTTTGCTCTATCCTATGAGGCTTTATCTTTAATACAATTTCTTAGCTTTAATGAGCATTAAACATTAATGTTGCCCAGAAGTGTTTAGCTTGCACCTGGTTCCAAATAGCCTTGTTTTCATTTCTTTCAGGTTGCTGTTGTCGCTCAATTTGATCCCATTAGAATGATGTCAGATACAATGGCATCCAAAGCTAGAATGGATACTGAAATTGAAGAATTTATTCTTCAAAAGCCACTCTTCACTTTGAACACATACAATGAAAAGCAGGTAATTATGAGAATTAACATGACTGAGTTAAAAACCATGATGATGCAAAGAAGAACTGTACAGAAGTCTGTGCTGTGGGTTACAAAGTGCTTTCAATACATACATTTCAATACTACTCGCAGCATAATTTTATTTCTAAATTACAGCACATAGTTACTACATAACTGTTACTAATATAAAGTAGCTAGTAGGTGACCTTAGAAGAAAACAATTTACCTGAAAATGTTAAGTATCTCTGGGATGGCCCAGGTGCTTGGGCCCCTGCACCCTCATGGGAGACTGGGAAGAAGCACCTGGCTTCTGGCTTTGGATCGGCGCAGCGCCAGCTTTGGCGGCCATTTGGGGAGTGAACCAACGGAAGGAAGACCTTTCTCTCTGTCTCTCTCACCGTCTGTAACTCTACCTGTCAAATAAATAAATAAACTCTCTCTGAAAATTTTTAAAATTTAAAAGTTACTTTGCAAGATTTTATTTGAAAATTCTAGATTTTATTGTTTAAATATTTCTGTTGTATTAAGAATAGTATCAATCCTTTTAAATAAACAATTGATACTGATGAGACAAAGCAAATGTCATTTTAAATGAACAGATGATACATTGGAGCTAATGATAAAATAATCTTGGATGGAAAAATGCTAAGTAGTTACCTAGCTCTTTCTAGAAATTTAGGATTCATTTTAGTCTATGCCTATAATTGAGAAGGGACTTTTAAAAAATTTCTTAGATGGATGGGTTGAAGGACTGGAGGCTGGGAAGGAAGACAGATGAGTAAGTGTATATTCTGGAAGGGAGAGAGAAAGTTGTTAATTTTACAAGTTTAAGGAGAGAAGCTAAATAGTTATTTAATTTAAAAATCAGGAAGCTTCATCCGTTCATCCATTGTCCAATAGGTCCATTGTACCTCTACTATGTGCTGCATAATTTGCTAAAGAATAAAAAGATGAATAATTCATTTACTTATGAACTAAACAAATATTTACAGGACACACTCTGTACTGGAACATACCATATTCTGGCTTTCTGTTAGACACATGGCCTACCTCCTAAACAAAGGAGATCTGGAAGAGGTGAGATAGAACTCTTATTGAGAGGGGAAGAGGCATGTGCAGAAATGATGTTACTCAGGTGAGACCAACTCTATCGTGGAGATCTAAGGACTGAAGCAGTAAGAAGGTGCTAAAACAAAATTGACCAGGAAAATCAGAGAGAAAATTTTGAGCTCTACATAAGCCAAGAATGTTTGTCTTCACTAACATAATTCACTCCAGATGATTTACAGAAACAAAAAACTGGGTTAAAGAGGGTGTCCAGAGTGAAGGGTTTGTTACAAGAATGCATGGGGGTCCGGCGCTATCGTGCAGCATGTTAAAGTCTGCAATGCTGGCATCCCACGTGGGTGCTGGTTCAAGTCCCTGCTGCTCCTCTTCCGATCCAGCTCTCTGCTATGGCCTGGGAAAGCAGTAGAAGATGGCCCAAGTCCTTGGGCCCCTGCACCATGTGGGAGACCCGGAAGAAGCTCCTGGCTCCTGGCTTTGGATCAGCTCAGCTCTGGTTGTTGCAGTCATCTGGGGAGTGAACCAAGATGGAAGACCGACCTCTCTCTTTCTTTCTGGCTCTACCTCTCTCTGTACCTCTGACTTTCAAATAAATAAAAGAAATCCTTAAAAAATAATTCATGGGTCCTCCATATCCTGAATTAAAGAGGGAAGCTAGAATTTTGAGAGACTGAGTTGCAGAGCACACATTCTTCTCATCAGTGCATGCAACTTCTCTTGGATAGACCATATACTAGACCATAAAGCAAGTCTCAGCAAATTTATTAAAAAATCAAAATAATCCATGCATATTTTCTGAGCACAGTGGAAGCTAGAAATCAACAACTCAAGAACCTTGAGAACATATGCAAACACATGGAGTCTGAACAACATGTTCCTGAATGAACAGTGTGTCATAGAAGAAATCAAAAGAGAAAAAAAAAATTTCTGGAAATGAAGATGACAATATATCATATAAAAACTTATGGAATACAGCAAAACAGTGTTTAGAGTGAAGTTTATAGCAATTGTTACCTCCATCAAGAAACTGGAAAGTCACCAAATAAATGAGCTGTCAATGCATCTCAAGGACCTAGGAAAACAACAAACCAAAAATCCAAATAAATAGCAGGAAAGAAATAATTAAAATTAGAGAATAAATAAACAAAATTGAAACAAAAAACACAAAAGATCATGAAATGAAGATCTGGTTTTTTGAAAAAATAAACAAAATGGACACAATTTGGCCCAACTTACCAAAAAAAAAAAAAGAGGAAGAAGACCCAAATCAATAAAATCAGAGATGAAGAAGAAAATTTATTTATTTATTTTTATTTATTTATTTATTATTTTTGACAGGCAGAGTGGACAGTGAGAGAGAGAGACAGAGAGAAGAAGAAAATTTAATAACAGATACTACAGAGATAAAAAGAATCATCAGGTTTTACTGCAAAGAGCTGTATGCCAACAAATCGGGCAACCTAGAAGAAATGGATAGATTCCCGGACACATATAATCTACCAAAGTTGATTCATGAAGACATAGAACTCCTAAACAGACCAATAACAGACAGAGATTGAATCAGTAGTAAAGACCTTCCCAAAAAAGAAAAGCCCAAGTCCTGATGGCTTCATTGCTGAATTCTACCAGACAATTAAAGAGGAAGTAATATCAACTCTTCTCAAGCTATTAAAAACAATTGAAAGGAAGAGTATCCTCCCAAACTCCTTCTGTGAAGCTAGCGTTATCTTAATTCCTAAAACAGAAAAAGGTAAAACAAAGAACTTTAGACCAATTTCCCTCATGAACATAGATGAAAAATCCTCAACAAAATACTAGCCAATTGAATCCAACAATATATCAGTAAGATCATTCACCTAGACCAAGTGGGATTTATTCCTGGTATGCAGGGATGGTTCAACATCTGAAAATCAATAACTGTTAATCATCATATTAACAAACTGAAGAATAAAAACCATATGTACAAAAAAAAGCATTGATAAAATTCAACATTTCTTCATGATGAAAACCTTTAGCAAAGCTGGTATAGAAGGATCATTTCTTAACATAATCAAGGCAATTTATGACAAACCCACAGACAACAACTTACTGAGTGGGGAAAAATTGGAGGCATTCCTACTAAGATCTGGAATCAGAAAAAGATGCTCATCATTGTTATTCAATATAATCCTGGAAGTTTTAGCCAAAGCCATTAGGCAAGAAATAGAAGTCAAAGGGATACTAATTGGAAAGGAGGAAGTCAGATTATCCCTATTTGCAGATGACATGATTCTATATGTAGGGGATCTGAAAGACTCTAGACTCTACTAAGAGACTGTTGGAACTCACAGAAGAGTTTAGTAAAGTAGCAGAATATAAAATCAACACCAAAAATCAATATCAATAGTCTTTTATACACAGACAATACCATAGTTGAGAAAGAACTTCGAAGACAACCCTTTCACAATAGCTAGAAAAAATTAAATACCTGGAATAAACTTAATCAAGGAAATCAAAGATTTCTACAATAAGAATTACAAAACATTAAAGAAAGAAATAGAGGAAGACATAAAGTTGAAAAATCTTCCATGTTCATGGATTGGGATAATCAATATCATCAAAATGTCCATGCAACCAAAAATAATTTATAGATTTAATGTGATCCCAATCAAAATACCAACAGCATTCTTCTCAGTTATAGAAAAATGATGCTAAAGTTCATATAGAAACACAAGAGACCCCAGATAGCTGAAGCAATCTTAAGCAACAAAATCAAAGCTGGAGGCATTACAATACCAGATCTTAAGACATACTACAGGGAAGTTCTAATAAAACCAGCCTGGTAGTAACACAAAAACAGAAGTATAGACCAATGGAACAGACAGAAGCTCCAGAAATCAATCGACACATCTTCAATCAACTTATCTTTGACAAAGGAGCAAAAATCAATCCTTAGAGCAAACTCTCTTCAAAAAATAGTGCTGGGGAAACTGGATCTCCACATGCAGAAGTATGAAACAAGAATCCTACCTTACACCTTACAGAAAAATCCATTCAAAATGGGTCAGAGACTGAAATCTACAACCAGATACCTTCAAATTACTAAAGAACATTGGAGGAACTCTATAAGACATTGGCATAGGCAAAGCCTTCTTGGAATAGATCCCAGAAGCACAGGCAATCAAAAGCAAAAATTAACAAATGGGATTATATCAAACTGAAAAACTTCTGCACTGCAAATAAAACACTCAGCAAAGTGAAGAGGCAGCTGACGGAATAGGAGGAAAATATTTGAAAACTATGCAATTGATAATTAATTTCCAGAATCTGTAAAGAACTCAAGAAACTCAACAATAACAAAACAAACAATCCAGTTAAGAAATGGGCAAATGACCTGAGCAGACATATTCTGAGAGGGGAAATTCAAATGGCCAACAGACACATGAAAAAATGCTCAGGATTACTAGCTGTCAGAGAAATGTAAATCAAAACCACAATGAGGCTTCACCTCACCCTCGTTAGAATGGTTTTCACACAGAAATCAACAACAAATGCTGTCGAGGATGTGAAGAAAGTGTACCCTCACTGTTGATGGGAATGTAAATTAGTGCAGTCACTGGGAAATACAGTATGGAGATACCTCAGAAATCTGTATATACCATATTATCCAGTCATCCCACTCCTGGGAATTTACCTAAAGGAAATTAAATCAGCATATGAGAGAATTATCAGTACCCCCATGTTCATTGCTCAATTTACAATAGCTAAGATATGGAATCAACCCAATTGTCCATCAACTGAAGACTGGATAAAGAAATTATGGTATATATACACTATGAAATACTACACAGTGGTTAAAAAATGAAATCCTGTCATTTGCAGCAAATAGATGCAATTGGAAAGCACTTTACTTGGTGAAATAAGCCAATCACAAAAAGACAAATACCATATGTTATATTTGATCTGTGGTAACTAACAGAGTATCTAAAAGGTAATAAATAGTAGCAAAAGTGACACTTTGTGATGCAATGATTTTGAACAGCCATTGTCTTGGTCTTGACTGTTGAGGAACAATGTTTTTTTTTCTTCGTACTATTTAGTGAACTCTGTACTTAGTGAAGGGTTAATCTTATGAGCATAAATCTAACTGCAAATAGATCTTTGTGAAAAATAAGAATGGAAATGGATAGAGATGAGGAGGAAGGGTAGGGAGAATCACCATGTTCCTAAATTTGTATATATGAAATGCATGAAGCTTGTATTCCTTAAATAAAGTTTAAACAGAGAAAAGTCTCAGAATTCTGGGAAAAGGAAATAAAGATTTCACCAAGAAGACGAGGATGAAATGGGCCCCTTCCTGGTATGCCTTCAGTGTAAGGTGCAGGAGAAAGAATGTATGACCAGTTCTGGGAGGGATGACTAGAAACATGGGTTACCATCAACCTGAAAGCATGGTAGTTTTTGCTACTAATGTATTGGGCACTTATTTTGTGAGCAGATGTGAAACTTTGTGGCAGGTAATTATGTTTTAGCTATATGTATTGAATGAAAAACTGGTAAGAGTGGGTATAGTTTGGGGTCTTTGCAAGATGGCACAGCCCTCATAGCAGTAGAGGTGGGAAGGTGGACCATCACTGCTCTGGCTCACAGGCAGCAGGGATATAAACCAAGTGAGAGCACAAGTGCACAAACAACATTGGGAAGTGTCTGTATTTTGGATTCAAGTGCACATCCACTAGCTAAAGGCTGGATGCCCTTGTGGAAGCTATTAACATTTGGATGCATTATTTACTTCATCTGCAAAAACATTATTTGTAAAGTCCTCATGGAGATTAGAGATGATCAATATCATTGCCCAGAATAGTGCCTGGCACCCAGTAGTCATTCAGTATGTTATCCTTATTGGGCAATTTTGTGGTATACATTTGCAAGAAACCAACCAGCTGCCTCTTGAGAGGAGAATTGGGGAGGTTGCGATGGGGGGGAGGGTGGTCTCCACTTCACTTGGAGTCTATTCAAAAAGAGAACAAGCTTTTTTTAAAACAACAACAACAACAACAACAACAACAACAACAAAACTTAGAATCCTGAAGCCGAATAGAGAGCTGAATCCTAGAGATAATTTGAGAGTCAATAACATACAGGTTGAACATGACTCCTTGGGAATGGATTGGAGTGGCCAGGGAGAATATATCGAGGCAGAACAGGAGAAACTTAGGTCTAAGTCTCAAATCTGTTGCTTCTCAGACACAAATCCCTATTATTCTTGTCTTCATGCTCATCCTTTCTGCAGCCCTGTGTCTCACTTTTTGCTAAATTCTATTGATTTTTCTCTTCATAGGGTTCTTTCCTAGTAATCACTTCCTTACTGCCAGCCAAGTTTAGGCATTTATTATTTCACATCCAGACAATTACAATAGACTTCTAACCACTCTCCCTGCCTCCATCTGTTCTCTCTGCCACAATAATTTGTTATGAAATTAGGAGCAGATACATCTTCTGTGTAACCGCAATGTTCATGTAACTTTTGTGCTACAAACAGAGATAGGGGTAGGTTTTCATCTACAGCGGGTAAGCTCTGCTTGGGAGGCATGCAGCACATTTTGGAGTATCTGGGTTGGAGTCTCAGATATGCTTTCCTTTCCAGCTTCCTGTTAATGAGCTTCTAGGAGGCAGCAGGTACTTGCAGCCTGCTATCCAAGTGGAATATCTGGATAGAATTCTGGGCTCCTAACTTTTGCATGGCCCAGCTCTAGATGTTTGGGCAGTCAGTCAGCAGATGAGAGATCCCTCTCTGTCTAGCTCTGTCTCCCTGTCTGTCTTTCAAATGAAAATAATTAGTTACAAATCTTTAAAAATTCCAAAAACATCCCAGTGGTTTCTGAGATGTATCCACATGGCCTTCAAGCCTTTAACATTCAAACCGCAGACTGGGAGATGTCCTTTTCCAGTGTTCCCCAGTAGTACACAGTGCTCTCCTAAAACTACCCCATCCCAGGTTGAAGTATTTCACCTCCGAGTTTGAATGTGCCTTCCTTTAGAGGCAGATCTCTCTTCCCTATTTTAAATAGAGTAAATTGGTCTTTAAAGTTAGTTCCTCCTTCCCTGAAACCATCCTCATCCTGCAAGCACCAGTTCATGTGCCTTTGTGATTTACTATACGTACAGCATCTCTGATGTGTAGCCAAGAACTATAGTTATCTGTTATATTCTTATTGCCCTCATTCATTTAGGAGTTCCTGGAATGGGAGCAGAGGGCTGCTTTCGACAGCTTATAATGGCAACTTCTAGAGGGACTTCAAGTCCACACAAAATGACTCATTAGATAAAATTCATACATGGCCACTTTCTTACTATTGAAAGCAGTGTCTGTTGACCCTTCATGTTCATAGAAAGGGAAGAAGAATAAGGTCCCATCAGCTATAAATGAAAACAGAAATTGAACTACTCATGTGTCTACTCCCACTTAGATTCAAATTGATGGGGCCATTTTCTAGTTCTGTTTGAAATAGAAATCTGGCCTTGGGAGGAAAATTCTATTGATTTTGTTTTTCAAGTAGTGGTCATGTTTTTAAACTTAATTTACATATTGTCAAATAATGGAAAAATTAAAGTGTCTATTTAAAGACAGATATACAAGGTTATGGCTTAGCTTTCTTTTAATCAATGATTTTATCCTATAATTCCAGCTTCTTCCATCTCATCCTTTAATAATTTTAGTATTTTGTCTAATCTAGTTCACAATATGAAAGGTCTTCACAAGGTTCATGGAAAAAGTATGTTATGAAAACACTATGTATGGATTTCAAAAATTTTTGCATGAAAAATAAACTTACCTATTAATTCCACCTCTCACCAACTTTTTGAATGCTTTTGTAAATCCTTACAACCTGTCTTAGAAACCACTAATATACTAGAAATTGATAGTGTCACAAAAGATTTAGACATTTTTCTTCAAAATAATCAGAAAGTAGTCATCGTATTCAAAAAATGTACTGTCATTTAGTTATCTATCCAGCAAAAATAGATTATACAACTTAGAAAACTATGAAACTAAGTGAAAATTTTTTACTTTACTTCAATAAAATGTTATTTATTTACATTGCATTTTGTTTTTACAGATAATTTCTGACCCTAGACTTCGCGTGGAGTTAGCACTTCGAGAAGCTGGGCTTCATAAAACATGTTATGCCAAAGAGATATTACCAAAAATCAGTCCTCAAAAACCTCCAAGAAGGGACATGGAGTCTACCGTGTTTAAAACCTAGAGGTCATCCTCAAATACTATTCTATGTAAACAATATTTTTCTTCAGAAACACTGATATGAATAACTATAATTGCTACTCTCCAAATTTTTAAATATATCTGAAATAGAAATGCTTGCATTTATTAAAATAATTTGACCTTTCTTCTCATGATTTTTATAATTGTATGCACTATTTCCTTATCTTTTTTATTTATATAAATGGAACAAATTTCATGTATTTCAGATATACAGATTTAAGAGCATATTGATACGTCCCAACCTTCCCTCTCTGCCTTCCTCCCTCATTCCCACCTTCCATCTAACTTCCTTCATTATTTTTCTTTTAACTTTTATGATAACATACTTTCAATTGACTTTATAATCACAAGCTTAACCCTCCACTAAATAAAGAATTCAACAAGTGGTAAGTAGAAAAAACACTGAGTCTCAATAGTATAGACAAGGGCTATAAACAATAATCAAATCTTAAAATGTCAATATCTTTGTTGTATTTAATAGTCCCAAATTCTCCAACATTATGAACCCTAATTATGGCACATGGGTTCCAAGTACTATCATTTAATAAACTGTGTTTTAAAGTTGTGTTATCCCATGAAACGAGATCAAAATAAACATTTGTGAGAATTATATGTTATGTAGCTCCTACCTGCTAATGTTCATTTCTGCTTGTTTCAGAATTTCACTTTTTAATTATGAAAGCATCATTATCATTAAGACTTCTATTATTTCTTGATTATTATAAGAGGAGACTCAACCTTCCTCTAAATTTAGAAACCAATTTGGTACATCATGTTTACTGCAAACCAATCATCCAAACAATTTCATTTTGCAAATTAGCCCTTAAGAATAAATTAGGAATTAGAAATAGCATTTGAAGGATGAGAAATACCTGTTTTGGTTTGGAAAGAATGTATTTGTGTGGTTGTTTAGAAAGAATGCTTTTAAATTTGTAATATTTGGAAGGCTGTCAAATGATCCAAATTGTTAAATATATAGGTGATTTTATAGAAAAGGAGCATTTCAAGTGAAACTCAAGAACAAATTTTGACTATTTCTAAAAAGTGACTGTTCACTCAAGCAAATCAATGTCGTTGAAAGATGCTATTGTTACTATTAAAAAGACTACCCACTTTTTTTCTCTCGATTGCAGCTCCCTGCTATTTCCCACCCACCTCCAGCTCAGGGGTTGCAATCTATATGCAATTATTGGAAGAACACAAAAAAGACAAAACTCAGGACAACTGGTGAAATCTTTCTTCATGATTGTTCACAACATCATGAAAATAAGTAATACAAGTCCAGACCATCAGAATAAACGTTATGAAAGATTCTTTGGGCAAAATCCTATATGCCTTCCAAAAGTCTATGCTAATGTGCTCCCAGTTCAGCTTTTTTGTATCATTGTAACATCTCATAAAAAGAGGAGAAGGAGTGGCTGGCACTGTGGCATAGTGGGTAAAGCAGCCACCCGCAGTGCCAGCATCCCATATGGACACCAGTTCTAGTCCCAGCTGCTCCACTTCCAATACAGCTCTATGCTATGGCCTGGGAAAGCAGTAGAAGATGGCCCAAGTCCCTGGGCCCCTGCATCCACATGGAAGACCCGGAAGAAGCTCCTGGCTCCTGGCTTAGGATTGGCACAGCTCTGGCCATTGTGGCCAGCTGGGGAGTGAATCAGCAAATGGAAGACACCTCTCTCTCTCTCTCTCTCTCTCGCTATCTCTCTCTGCCTCTCCTTCTCTCTCTGTGTAACTCTGACTTCCAAATAAAATAAATAAATCTTAAAAAAAAAAGAGGAGGAGGAGTGCTCCCATGAGAGGAAGGGAGTGATAAGCACAAACGTTTCTCTTGAGGGGTGTCCCAGGGTCACAGCATTCCTTACAGGGCCCTCAGTTTGCTTGACATGAAGCCTCAGACCATAAACTCTTGGAAGCCCTGCTTTGTGAGAGTGTATCCTCCCTAACTGGCAAGACCCTGATGCTGCTCACAGTCCACAGCTGCCTGCCGACTTCAACATCCATGCTGATGTCTGGGGGATCACAATCAAATTCTAGCAGAATATTGCCTGATAGCTGATTATAACACCACAGGAAGTAGAACTGCAATTTTGAAAACAACAGTGAGCTGACATGTTAAGGTTTTAATGAAAATATTACTGGAGATTTGGGCAACAATCCAGCTGTTAGCTGTGCCCAGACTTAGACATTATTAATTTTCTTTCCTTTAAGAGACAGTATTATTAAAAGTCACCGTTTATTGAACATAAACTGTGTGCTAAACACTGTTCATGTGCACTGCATATAATATTGATCACTGTAACAAACTTAGAAGATCATCATCGTTCTTTTATGGATAAAGAGATAGGTTCAGAAAGGTAAAATAATAAAAGTAGGGCCTAGACCAGTTGTTTTCAAACTGAGTCCTAAAATTAACATAGTGAGTCCTGACCACCAATTTTTTAAAAGATTTTATTTATTTTAAAGAGTTACAGAGAGAGGTAGAGAAAGAGAGAGAGGTTTTCCATCTGCTGGTTCACTCCCCAGAGGGCTGCAATGGCCGGAGTTATGCTGATCTGAAGCCAGGAGCCAGGAGTTCCTTCCAGGTCTCCCATGTGGGTGCAGGGCCCCAGGGACTTGGGCCATCTTCTACTGCTTTCCCAGACCACCGCAGAGAGCTGTATTGGAAGAGGAGCAGCCGGGACTAGAACCGGCATCCATATGGGATACTGGCACTTCAAACCAGGGCGTTAACCCACTGCACCACAGCGCTGGCCCTGACCACCAATTTTTAAATGACACAAAACAAAATAAACAAATTTGAAATCCAAATGGCTAATAAACATCTCCATTGAGATACCAATGTACAGCCACTAGACTGTCAACAATACCAAGAAATCTACCAATGTCAAGTAGTGACAATGCAGAGTAATGGGAAGCAGGCACTGGTGCACACTGGATGAGTTTGGACTCCACTGGTCAGCTTGAAAGCATTCACACCTTTTGATCTAGCAATTTGTTTTCTGATGTATGCCCTTGGGTAGTTCTGTGTGTGTGTATGAGGAGATAAACTGAGATTTCCAAATGAAAACCAGCCATGTGTTCATCATAAGCAGAGTGGATATAAAAATTGTAGTGTATTCACACTTGAAATTGCATATAGCCATGAAAATAAAAAATATATAGCTATATCAACATGTGCATACTTGTAGTTGAAAGGGGTCAGATGCAAAAGCATACATATCTTGTATGTATGGAATGCATTATATTTATAGTACAAAAACATACTAACTCAACCTCTGTTGCTTAGGATAAGTACACAGGTAGTAAAACAATAGAAAAAAAAAACAAGAAAATTATTAAAAGCAAAATCAAGGTAATGATTAACATATAGGAAAATGGATTGGTTCAGGGCATCTAAGTTAAAATGTCTTATTGCTTAACAAGGGTAGTGATATATGATGTTCCTAATTATTCCTTAAAGTGTTCATGAGTGTTTTTGAACTTAGGCAATGCTATAAATTCCTAATACAATGAAAAAAGAACATTAAGAAAGCCAAACATTAAAGGAATAATTCTTAGTATGAAAGTGAATCAAAATCATTTTAGGGTGGGCATTTGTCCTAGTAGTTAAGACACTCACATCTCATATTGCATAGAACTCAAGGGATTGGGTCCCTGCTACCCCCATGGAAAAATTTGGATTTTGAATTCTATATTGAATTTCCAGCTTCTGACTGGCCTGGTCCACCAAGATTGTTGTGGACATTACAACAATGAAACAGCAGATAGGAACTCTGTCTCTCAAAAAAATAAGTATTGTTAAAAATAATCTTCGGATCAGTTTTGGATGTAATATCCCTAATTTACAGGAATATCTGAGGTAGGAAGGCACGTCCCTACTTGGAATTCATGTTTGCTCTGGCATATGATAGGGTTCCCTCTGTTTTCTCCCTCTCCAATACTGTGCTCTGCTTCACTTTGAATCTTCCCAGTCTAGTTGCCTGGTAGGCTGGAAATGAGTACATGCTTACCAGGACTAAGCCATGTACCATGAGGTTCTATGTCAGTTACCAAGTTTGTGTACAGTGGATTATAACTAAAATGTATTTCTTAGTGAGTAATCATAAAAAATTCTCCTCAATATCATGGGTTATAAATGAGATGACAGGCTTGTCTCAAATTGAAAGGGAAGAATGTTATCCATCTGGTGGGAATTCCCTTGCTCCTCTCCCCAGCACCGAATCTGCAAATACATCCACCTCTGCATTTCTCCTTTGGTTCCTTTAACCGAGGGAGCCAAGGGAGCAGTCCTCCCCCGACCAGAGATGTTTCCATGAGTGTTTCATGTTTCACACCCTCTAAACTCCACAAGAGTTTATTTTTTGCTTGTTCTCTTTCCTATATCTTCAAGCTCTCCCTCAGCTCACAAACATGCTGGAGTAAATCCCACTTTAAAAATAAATCTCCCTTAACCCCAGATTCTCCTTTAGCTACTAAACTATTTCTCTGCTCCTCTTCTCAAGAAACTTTTTAAGAGTTGCCTGTAGATATTTGCTGTCTGCTCCTCTCATCTTCCAGTTCCTGTCACTCATTCTGTCACAGCTCGTGGCAAGGTCTCTAATGAACTATTGGCAAACGATGATCACTTTTCATCCTACTGACTTTATGGCAGCATTTGATTCTGCTGACAACTATGCCGTCTTAGGAGGCACTCTTCTTTTGGCTTTTAAAACATTAACTGTGCTACCTCCTGCTTCTTTAGTACTTCCTCAAGTTTCTTTTTTGATTCCTACACCTCTGTTTATCTCTAGATGTTGGAATGTTCCTGGATTAGCCTCTAACCTAATTGAAAATATATTAGACCCTAATATTCCAGATAGAAATCCTTATCTTTATTGTTGAATCTCCCAAAGGAATAACCCTAAACCCTGTTTAGTCACCTCTGAAATCTGAGTTCCCACACATGGATTTAAGCAACTACAGACTGAAACTATTTGGGAAAAAATTGTTTTTAATACGTACAGATTTCTTTTTTTTTGTCATTATTCCTAAACAATACAGTATGATAAGCATTACTTAGCATTTTCATTGCATTAAATATTAAAAGTAATCTAGAGATTATGTAAAATATACAAGTGTGCATAGTATATGCAAACACTAGGTCATTTAATATAAATAACTTGAATATCTACAGATTCTGATATCCGTGGGGGTCCTTGAGTCAATTCCTCCAGGACCAATTCTGAGAGATGACTATCCATTAACTTCAGTTTCTAAATTATGTTTTGTTGGGCTCTTTTAATCCATAGGTTTCCCTCTTCATTCTTTTTTTCTATCTTGCAATTTATATGTTGATTGAACAAATAAATTTACATATAGTATCTCCTATGTTGAAGCTAATTTTACCCTCTTGGTATTGTGTAGTATATTCTTCTGTTCTGTGTTTTGCTCTACATTATTAGCTAAATCTAGAAGCTTATTATCTAGTTTGTCATTAATTCACAGTGACTCCATCCATTAATTAATTATGGATCACATGATAGAGATACTCTAATTTAGTCACTCCTTCTTCATTTGTGAGTATTAATTGGAAACTAAAGAAAAATTTCCCTCTTCTGTTAGTTGGTAGTATAAGAGAAATAGGCTAAATGTTTGAGGTCTTTCTCTCCTTAACAGTTTTCAAAAACAATTAATTGCCTTTCTGAAATCCTTCAAAAATTATCAGTTTTGTTGGGTCTTTATGAAGTCATGGGTTTAAATGTATTTGTTCTTTCAATCTATTGAAGTATTGTTCTTTAATTATCCCCTTTGCTCAATGGAAGTCTTATCAACTTGGCTCATGAGTTTTATTAGGAAAACCTAATAGAATGGATAACTTCCTTGCTATTCTACTTAATACCTAGTGTTGTATAACAAAACTTGAGTGTTCAACATGATAGCTTTTATTCCCTCTCATGGTTTACTGAGTTTATTGATCTCTATTGAATAGTTCTTGCTTGAGGTCTATGTTAATTACCTATCATTGCCATAGCAGATTATCACAAACTTAACAGCTTAAAAATGTAAATTTATTTTTACAGTTTTAGAGGTCAGATATGAGAATTGGGTCTCATTGGAATGAAACCAAGGTGTTTTCAGGGTTATATTCCTTTCTGGAGACTTCAGGAGAGAATCCCATTTCTTTGCCCACCCCAGCTTCTAGAAGCTGCCCATAGACTGTGGCTCGTGGCCACCTTGGTTTGTCTTCAAAACTAGCAATGGTGCTCCTTCTCAGATCCCATCTCCTATACTCCTCTTCTGCCATCTCTACCACTGATATATTCTTGTGAATACACTGAGTCCTCATCAACAATTCAAGATGGTCTATCTATTTTAAGGTCACATGAGGAGCAACCTTAATATCTTTTTGGCTTTTAAGATAACATATTCACAGATTCTGCGGATTAGGGAATGACATCTTTGGGATGCATGTTCTGCATACCACAAGGTAT